TACACATTAAATCACATTTAAGCCACAATATTCTAAAGCTTGGATTCAACTGATCTCAAGAAAACATCTGCAGAAAGACAGAGTACAACAGAAAAGAAAAATTTGCCAAAGGCCAACAAAAGGTTATCCATCTAATAAACTGTAGGAAAAGCCCTGTATCATGAAAAGATTAGATAGGGTGGGAGACAGAGGACCTCCCATTATTACTAAGTGCCTACTATGTCCTAGTACTGTGCTGGCTATTTTGCCCAACAGAATTTACTTGCTCTTTGCACCACTCTGCAGGAAGAATCCTATTTCACAAGCAAGACAACTAAGATGGTGAGAGATTAAGGGATTTGCCCATTGTCACAGCCCACGTGGTATGATGTGAACCCAGGCCAGTCTGACACTACAGTTCATATTTTTTTCAATAAACCACACTGCAACACAATTGGTAGAATTATATTTTTTTGCATTATGTGATTAAAATGAAGGACAGAATAATATCTGGCATTCTTGTCCAAGCAATATTAAGGCTGTTACTAAAGTCATGCCACAGCCATTCATAGAAGCACTCACTCTGTACCACGTATGACTTGGAAACATAAAGTTGAACAAATGGTCCCCAATCCCATGGAACTCAAGAGTCTAGGAGAAATAATGCTTTTGTGTCACCATTAATGAATATCCATATTCTTGGCAATGGGGGACACATCTGTGATATCTCTTTTGAAATGGCAAAAGCTCAGCTCTCTTAGGAGCTGAGTAATTCTGGATGGCTAAATTTCTGGATAGCTGAGAATTTTCTCTTTGAAGCATGAGATCTTGGACTTCACAACTTTTCCTATTTAATCATTTCTCAATGCTTTTGTCAATTCTCTCAGGACACTCTGAGTTCCAAAGCCTGAGCTCTTGTGTTCCCCATTCTCACTGATTCCCCTTTACTATTCTGTCCAGTGAATGGATTGATAGATGGACAGGAGTGAATAAGATCTTCATAATAAGTACCTCACATTAGAAATTCTGAACTCCATCACTTTCCAATCTTAGAGAGTTTTTCTGGTTTGTTTTTAAGAAATAATATGATTTAAACTTTTCTTGAAGTTCTGGGTCATTATTAGCATTGTGATTTGAGAAAAAAAAATAACGTGCTATGATTAAAGAAACCAAGTAAACTTGGGAAAATTGATGCATATATTAGGGGTCTTAGACTGATCGTTTTTAAAATGAAGGAGCTGAACTACAATTATCTCTGAGGCGTCTTCCAGCTCCACAACTGTATAACTCTTTGAAAAATAAAATCAGTTACTATAATGGTCGATTCAAACAGAACCATCCTTCCCCAGAGGCTTATGCAGTATGTGAATTAGTTTGGCTGCATTCTCCACAGTCCAAGATGAACATGGTTTTTGAGCTCCTGAGTCCATGATTTATAGTTTTGACTACTGGCAACCTAACTTTCAGTCCTCCCTCTTTTCTCATTTTAACTTGCAACCTGTAATTTCCTTGAACTTGGAGGGGAAAGAAAAAAAAGGCTTAATGAAAGGAATGGAATCTACATTTATTGAGTATCTTCCAAGTGCCAAATAAAATATGCATGACTTTAATTAATTTAATCCTTACAACACTGCAAATAGGTATTATCTCTATTTAATAAATGTGGAAACCCAAGAGCAGAGTTATTAAGTTGCCCAAGGTTGTAAGTGGCATAGCTAGGGTTCAAAGCCAGGCTGATGTCTCCAAGGCCCACATGCTTTCTACTACACAATGCCATGTATTAGAATAGGGAGTAAATTAAACATCCTTAGCCTTGAAGTCAGAATCTAGGAACTCTCCCTAATGATTACCTAAATTACATTTAGCTTATTGCAAGCACATGGAGTTTAAGAAATTCATTTTCTCTCGTCTTCTGTAGAGAAGTAAGGGCTTTATTAATATTCTTTCTTATTTTTTTTAAGTGCACTTTTTTTACTTAGCTTATTTTATATAAAACCCAGGAGGGCTTTAGGTAGTTATCAAATGAGCAAGGGTACCAAAAAGCTTAGTGCTAGCTAGGTGAGAATTTATATGTATCATTAAAACTGGTGAATCATTTACTAAACATTGAAGGGAAAAATTAAATCCTTTATCAAATTTTACTATTTTTCTCTTAACTAAGGTCATTAAGTATAACTATATATTTGAAAAGATTAAAAACTCAAAGCTTTACTATCAGGACTGCTGCATAAATATGCTCAAGAATCCAGCTTCATGTTCTAGAATTTATCAGGATGAAGCTGATAAACAATAATTATATCACACTGTTTCCTTAAACACTATCTCTGGAGGCACCCAAATCTTTCATGGAGGTGCTCATCCTGAGCTCCAGAAATCTCAGTTCCTGCTTCCTCTTCACTGTAGATGAATACCTTATATTTTACTGAATCTCCAAGTATAGTTTATGGGCAAATGCAAGGTTCTATTTCCAAGTACTCTGTCATTATTAAAAAGTTGAAGTCAAGCATTTCTTGTGTGACTGACTATGAACTAAGCTAACAAACTTTAACTAGACAACAAGTGCTTTTTCACATTTGCAAGTCAAATGCCAGGGAATTTAATAATCATCTGCTAAATCTGCACTGTGGAGTATCAGTAAGTGATCAATAATTCTACACCTACTTTCCTTTGTTAGGCACCACATATGTGATTAAGTGAAAGTTGCACTAATTCAAAGAAAACATTACCATAAAAAAAAAAAGGCTTACTAAAACAAGCAGACACTGTGAGCTGTTTGCAAGGGGGGACATGCAGCCTCAGTCCTGCTGGGAAATGACAAAAATGACTTGGGAGCTTCTGGTTTGTTGGTCGATGTTCACTCAAACACATCACTGGGTTCTGCAGACCACAAACCAAAAGAAGTACCGTTCATGCAAAATGTTGAACTTCTCAAAGTTTTCATAACACCTGGTTCCCTCTGGGATTTTCATTGATTAAATATTCCCTTCGAGACCCCAACTCCTCTCTTGGGAGTCAGAAGGCCAGAAACTGTACACATGTACTTGGAAAGTTCGTGACAATGACTCCCTCTCATAACAGTAATAATGGCCACCATTATTATCTCATCACAGGGACTGGATGAGATGGACTGGGCAAGGACAAATTCAGGAGGGCTGGGTGGTCATGGTGAGGGCCAGGTAAACTTGCAGGGACTGGGGGAGAGGTGGGGACTCAGGGAGTCTGTCTTTAGCAAACTGGAGTCTGAAGTGGGAATGAGAGGAAGCCAGAACATAAGGTATTCCAAAGTGGTGAGAAAGACAGCAGGAGGCTGCAGTGAAGCTGGACAGTGGACGCAGCCGGCAGTGCTGGCTTCAGCAGCTCTCTTCAGCTCACAGGCGAGAACAGGAAAGCCTGCGGAGCAGGGGGCTCCAGGAAGGCCCCTCTGAGGTCACAGAAGGCGAAGGGAGTGTGGGTGAAAGTGGCTGGCTGCAGATCCAGACCGGACTGAGGAGTACAGAGCCAGGGGCAATGGACCAGGGAAGGAGGAGTGGTCAATCACCTAAAGAGCACAGGCAGGATGAGGAAGGGTTCAGACAGGTGTGAGCGAGGGAGAGGTGGCCAGCCAGGAGGTTAGCGGGAGGGCTTGCAGGCCTCCACATCCTCTCTCTCACACACGCACCCCACCCAGCTTTCTTTCACAAACCTTCTTCCTCTCTAGTAACCACTCACGTCTGTCCTCTTCCTGGTCTCGTCTCTCTCATCCAGTTGCATGCACTTTTGCACTGACCTTCTGGCATTCAGGGACTTAACCTTCTTTCTGCATTTTTGCAAAGGCCTCCCTCCAAGGACAAACCTGCTTTCTCCCAGCCCCTCAAAACCAGAAACTCCCTATGATTTACCTTTACGCCTTCAGTGCCCTGCACACAGGGGGAGGCACTAGACAAATGTCTATGGAAAGAAATACCAGGAACCAAGCACACACGCAATCCACTTTGTGCCATTAGTGCCAGGCCCTGCACATCAGCAAATTAACAGTGCATCCAAAAGAGCATCACTCACCTACCAAATATTTGCCATGTCCATCATTCTAACTCAAGTCTCCCTTCCCATCCCCCTGTCTTATAAGGGCACGTCTGAGGTAAAATCCACGCTCTAGACTGAAAGCAACACAGGGTCAGGGACTGAGTTTTATTCACCTTCGAATCCTAAGCATCTACTACAAAGCCCAATATTCAGCAGACAAATGGATAATTTGATTCATCAATCAGTCATACGTAGAAATTCCCATGAAAACAGAACCAAACAGAAAGCAGAAGAGCTCTGAAATTACCAAAAAGCAAATAATCCACAGACTAAATAATCAGACTCTAAAATGACTAAAAACTGCTTTTATTTTAAAAGCTTCTATTTTAAAGACAGAAAACTTCAGTACCAACATAATAATGTCACTTTACGTTTTCAGAGTAGGCCTTGCTTTCTCCAAGCTCCTGCAATTCACCATCCATCAGCTAAGCTAGGTACCAGGAATGGGAAACTTCACTGAATTTGGAATTAGGACAGCTGGACTCAAGTCCTGACTTTACCACTTCCTGTCCGTGACCTTGAGAAAGGTCCTTCAGCCACTGCACATCTCAATTTCCTTCTCTGCAGAGCAGAGATAAGATCGTGTTCTTCCTGCCTCTTAGACCTAAGAGGATCAAGGAGGTACGGGGAGGAGGGAGGAAATAAAATCTTGCTGAATACCTACTATACCCAGACATTTTACATACATTACTGAATTCTCACCACAATCCTGCAAAGTAGATTTTTACTATTTCTAGCCTCTTATAGGAGGAAATTGAGACTCAGCAAGGAAACTAACAATTTTATGAACTTGGGAAAAGTTAAGTGCCAGAGCTGGGATACAAATATTTCTGGCTGGTCCCAAAGCTCTCCTCATGAAAGATGAAATGAAATCTAAATATGTGTAAAAAAATTTAGCTGCTTTTTTGCAAACTATCATATCTGTAAGTATTTTCTATCATTGCTTTAAGTATGGAAGGTGGAGACAAAGAGAAGCAGCTATTTGCTAAGGCCACATGTCAGAGACAGAGATGGGGCCAGAACCTGGGTCTCCTGACTTCTGGCCTGAAGTCTTTTCATTAAACCACACCACCCCACACCCCCAGGAAAAGGCTCCTGACATTACTGGGTACAGAGGCATGATGCTTGTTTTTTCAGACCAGCTGTTACAGATCTATTTTAGGACAAGCACTTTGAAAATCATGGAAGGTGAGTATCAAGTGTTTCATTAAATATTCCATATTAATTGACCCTTTAGAGAACTCCCATGTGAGCAGCATATGCTGCCGGCTTCCTGTTAAGCAAGCCACTGAGAAGCTGACTACACTTCTTGCAACACATATTTTGAAAGCACATTCAGACAGCAGCACAAAGTACAATTCGAAAATAGTTTTGCATGAAAATCAGAAGTAGCTACTATTTCTCTGGCTGTGCTTCTGTCCATTAAATGCTCATGACTGGGGAAAGGCAGAATGTAAATTTGTGACTGTCCTTAATTCCAAGCAGGGTCTGTGTTAATAGGGGGAAAAGAAAAAAAGAGTGGAATATTCCAAATAACAGCTAACAATAGATGTCTTTGAATTTATAAGGAGAATGGTTATAATATGGGGAGCTGGGGGGAGGAATAATCATGTGAAAACATGCCATGTAAACAATGGTATTCTGCCCAGGGAAATGTGAGCAGTCCTGACCCCACTCAAGAGCAGGGCATTAAACTACGTCCTGGAGATCAGCTGTCACAAGGCATGGTGTTAAAAGGCCAAAAAGGACCTGCTATACACTCACTGTCTCCTTTCCCCTTGTTACCTTTCCTCAGTTTTTCTGCCTTTATTTCCTTTCCCCATCACATACCTGTCAAAAGCCTCTCTCCCATTTTACACTGATACATGTGATAAATATGGATAAAACCATCCAGCTAATACATTCAATTGTTGTTTAGTCACTAAGTCCTGTCTGACTCTCTTGCAACTCCATGGACTATAGACTGCCAGGCTCCTCTGTCCATAGGATTTCCCAAGCAAGAATACTAGAGCGGGTTACCATTTCCTTCTCCAGGAGACCTTCCAGACCCAGGGATCAAACTTGCATCTCCCACACTGGTAGCCGGATTCTTTACCGTTGACCCACCAGGGAACCCTGATTCAATACCCTAATCCAAAGTTGCTATTCAACATGCAACTTCATATGGAGGTGCTATGTTCAAGAGCCACAAAACCAATCAGTACATTTTTCTGCAGGAATGCCACAAGAGCAAAACACAGAGGAACAAAGAAAAATTCCTCATAGCTCACTTTCAGATTTGCCAAAAGCCTTGCAATTGAGATCTCAGTTCACTTTAAATGTTTTCATTCTAATCTTGCCTCCATCATGAACTACTTGTTAGGACAAGTTACTAACTCTTCTTAGCCTTGAAGAGTATCACGAGGATGAACAGCAGTGTCCCCCTCCTGGTGCTGTGATGACTGGCTGAGATAATGTGAGCAAAGTGTTGCCACATTGCCTGGCATGTTTCTGCAAAAGCAGTAGTAATAATCATCGTAAAAGTAGTTAACATTTATTGAGCAGTTGTTATGTGCCAAACACAGGGATAATTAGTTCACTTGGTCCTTTCAACCACTCTAGAAGGTAGGTTCTTTTGTTAAGTCTGTTTTGAGATGAAGAAGTTGAAAGACAGACAAGTTCAGGCACTTGCTGGCAGTCACTCGGGGGGAAAGCAGCAGTACGTAGCAGAGTAACGTTATCTGCTATTGTTAGTAATGCTGCTTAAGGAACAGATGTTTCTGGTTTTTAATGGCATAGTGCTCAGCACATATTATTAAATTTTATATAGGTGTGTTTGACAAGGTAGTAAAGAGTTATTTTCATAAATACATCAATAAGTTTCACTAATGCATACTTATGTATGAGTCCCCGGCTCAAATTCTAGAGATGTATATACTCGAAAAAGCCTATGATAGCCTCAAGCAGGCTCACAGCATGGAAGGGATAAAGATAAGAAAAAGATTGCAAAACAATGCAAGGAATGCTGCCTGCACCCTTGTACACTGTACAGTGAGGCACGACGCAGTAAGGGATCAGCCACACACAGGGAGGGGTAGGGTGACCCTCACTGCAAAGGGCCCTTGAGCCCAAATCTTCACTCAGACTAATGAGAAAGGGCATTTCACGTGGAGAAATGGGCAAACGCAATAGCAGAGAGACATTTAACAGCACAGTTCATTTGAGAAGCCACAGAAAGGTCAGGAGCAGAGTTGAGAAAGCTTTCAGACATGAAGCAGTACCAGCCCATGGGCCCCTGAGTGCTACTATGGAGCTTGGATTTTACCCCATGGTCCACAGGAAACCACGAAACAGTTATAAGGGGGTAGACGGCACACCTGCCCCAGTAGTTCAGGTTAAGCTTTAGGAGACCTTACTCATTCTCCATCACTCCTGATGGTCATCGGCAAGTCGGTGTGTCTCTATCTTGAAAACATATCCTGTGCGTGCTAACAGGAAGAGCCAGGAGACAATAAAAGACATAAGAAAGCACAGAGATAGAGGGGAGGGCTGGCCTTTGCTAGGAGCACTGATAATTCACCCACAGAACACGAGAGAAAGCATCGTCTATGGGTTAGATGCAGGAAGGTGGGAGCCTGAAGAAACTCTCCTCTGACTGTGTCTGTTTTCTCAGAGGAATAGGAAGCAAGATCACCAAGTTGAGAGGAAGAATGGAAATGGAAGTTCAAGAAGAAAACGTACCAAATAGGCATCTGGGAGAGTCACAGACTGAACAGTCTAGGGAAGTTTTCCAACTGGTCTCCGTGCCCCTTTACACTCCTAAAAAAATAATTATGGAGAATCCTCAGCAGCTTTCGTGTTTGGGAGTCTATCTATCAACACTGAACACATTGGAACTTTAAAACGGGGAAATCTTTAACATATACACAAACATACAACCACAGCAATGACATCAGCAGCGTGTAGCTTGGGGAAAACTCCACTATACACCTGTGAGAAAATGAGAGTAAGAAAAGGCAAATAATATCTTAATATTATTTTTAAAAGTTTGACCTTATAGAACAACTAGAAGCATTTGAGGGGCTGTCAGAAGTCTCCCTCATAACTGAGTCGGTAAAGAATCCACCTGCAATGCAGGAGACCCCGGTTCAATTCCTAGGTTGGGAAGATCCCCTGGAGAAGGGATAGGCTACCCACTCCAGTATTCTCGGGCTTCCCTTGTGACTCAGCCGGTAAAGAATCCACCTGCGATGCAGGAGACCTGGGTTTGATCCCTGGTTTGGGAAGATCCCCTGGAGAAGGGAAAGGCTACCCACTCCAGTATTCTGGCCTGGAGAATTCCATGGACTGTATAGGGTCACAAAGAGTCGGACACAACTGAGTGACTTTAACTTTCAAAGTGACTTTAACTTTCAAAGTGACTTTAACTTTCACAGAAGTCTCCAGATCATACTTTAAGAATGTGTGGTCTAGAGAAATGTAATCAGATGGCTGAGTCACCTGAGGCACCTACCTGAGGACAGGGATGCTGAATTTAAAGTGAGTGCACGTAGGAGGCATAGGTGTTCCTCCACTGGGTTCAGCAGCTGAGCTGCAGGCAGAAATTGAAGAGCTGGATTTAACCAGGGTTGTATTTTAAACAGATTGAATATCACTACCCAAGAGAAGCTAAGGAAGTAGCTACAATGGCCATGGTATTTAAGATGAGTAGGAAGGAAATGAAGACATGAAGGCAGTGAAGAGGTGGTGGGACCAAGAGTTCAAAAGATTGCTGAATTTTAGGTATTAGTAGAATAATCCAAAAAGGAAGGATTAGTAAGAGAGTAGGATGCTTGAAACAGAATACGGAAGGTAGCTGGTAACAACTTCAAACTCAACATCCAAAACTGTCTATATGCCCTTCTCTCTGAAATCTGCACCTCCTCTCTATCCCCCTAGTCACCCAAGCCTAAAACCTGAGGCTCATCCTGGATACTTTCCACTCTCACTGCATCTTAAGTGGTCCCAAATCTGATCCATTACAACTCTTCATCATCTCTCATCTTTCTTGCTCCTCCCTGCGCCCCCACTCCAGCCCCTTCTCTGGCCGTGCATCCACCGGCCTCATCTATGCTTGACTGAACTTCAGCAGGAGTCTTTCTCATACCCAGCTCCATCCTGCCCAATTCACCCTTCACTGTGCTGTGGAAGGACTTTCCACGGTGAACTCTGATCATATGATCTTCATGCATGCATCCATTCATGAAGAAACTATAACCCCAGAGATGGGGACATAAAATAGGCAGATATAGGCTATCATCATGAACACGGGGTCCATCAGAGCATGAAAAGGAGGTAATGCCACAGTGTCATGAAATAATACAGGGCGGAGGACACACACAAAAAAGGCAGCAAAGTAGAAAACTCAAAAACTCTCAAGGTGTTTACAGAGACGCCAACGAAAAAAGTTAAGAAAGAACATAAAAAAATACAAGAGAACCAGAACAGTGTAGCATGGTGAGAATTAGAATTTCAGGGCAGAAGGAAAGTCAATAATACAAACTGCCACTGCAGGTTTAAGAAAAAAAAAAAGAGCATGTTGTATTTGAAACTTAGGATCCTATCAGTGGTGATCTACACTGGATCAATCCTATTTGCATTACAAATATGATATAATTTTCTCCATCTTAGAAAAAAAAAAAAGGCACTGTCTCATTTTCATCACCCTGACAGACACAGGATTGTACCTCACCAGTAAAGTTTTGGCACTCCAATCCTTTATCCCAGGCTCTGGTTCCTAGAGAGTCCAGGTTAAGCCATCAAGTATGCAGACAGACCAAGTGCTTAAGATGCCTGAGCTACTTAACATGAAAAGATCTTGATTGGTGTCAAAATATAAAATTATGCTGGCCAAGAGAATAAGCCAACAAATGGCAAAGAGGTTACTGACTCCTGAGAAGAAAGACTAAATAATGACATTATTCTGAACTGACTGGCTAAAAATGTAACTGCCACACCACTCTTTTTGGACAAGGATAGCCTTTTTTCCCCCCTCAACCATATAACCCAGTAATCTTCACACAGCAGTACCTGGCGGTAGGGATGCAGATTTGCATTTGAAAAGCACATCCTAAAGTTAAAACTAATATAATTATGGTTTTCAAACAATGTAGTTATGTATAGCAGAAATAAGCTTCTCTTTAAGCATTAACAGCAATAAAAACCCAACTGTGTAGGTGAAAGAGACAATCATTGTAATATCAGTTGTAAATAAACAAAATACTAATTGAAAAAAAAAAAAAAAACCAATTGTGTGTTAGGAGCTTTGAAGGAACTCCTGGGGACAAGAGTAGTGAATTCTTTAGGAAATGCTGCATCACCAACGCTTAGTACTCGGTGAAAAATATTATGTTGGGGAAAAAAACACAGACACCAATGATTGAATTAAAATGGTATTCAGTTTTAGAAACAAAAGCAAAAATAAACAAATGGGACCTAATGAAACTTAAAAGCTTTTGCACAACAAAGGAAACTATAAGCAAGGTGAAAAGACAGCCCTCAGATTGGGAGAAAATAATAGCAAACGAAGCAACAGACAAAGGATTAATCTCAAAAATATACAAGCAACTCCTCCAGCTCAACTCCAGAAAAATAAATGACCCAATCAAAAAATGGGCCAAAGAACTAAACAGACATTTCTCCAAGGAAGACATACAGATGGCTAACAAACACATGAAAAGATGCTCAACATCACTCATTATCAGAGAAATGCAAATCAAAACCACAATGAGGTACCATTATACGCCAGTCAGGATGGCTGCTATCCAAAAGTCTACAAGCAATAAATGCTGGAGAGGGTGTGGAGAAAAGGGAACCCTCTTACACTGTTGGTGGGAATGCAAATTAGTACAGCCACTATGGAAAACAGTGTGGAGATTTCTTAAAAAGCTGGAAATAGAACTGCCATATGACCCAGCAATCCCACTTCTGGGCATACACACCAAGGAAACCAGATCTGAAAGAGACACGTGCACCCCAATGTTCATCGCAGCACTGTTTATAATAGCCAGGACATGGAAGCAACCCAGATGCCCATCAGCAGACGAATGGATGAGGAAGCTGTGGTACATATACACCATGGAATATTACTCAGCCATTAAAAAGAATTCATTTGAATCAGTTCTAATGAGATGGATGAAACTGGAGCCCATTATACAGAGCGAAGTAAGCCAGAAAGATAAAGACCATTACAGTATACTAACACATATATATGGAATTTAGAAAGATGGTAACGATAACCCTATATGCAAAACAGAAAAAGAGACTCAGATGTATAGAACAGACTTGTGGACTCTGGGAGAAGGCGAGGGTGGGATGTTTCAAGAGAACAGCATTGAAACATGTATATTATCTAGGGTGAAACAGATCACCAGCCCAGGTTGGGTGCATGAGACAAGTGCTCGGGCCTGGTGCACTGGGAAGACCCAGAGGGATCGGGTGGAGAGGGAGGTGGGAGGGGGGACCGGGATGGGGAATACATGTAAATCCATGGCTAATTCATTTCAATGTATGACAAAAACCACTGCAATGCTGTAAAGTAATTAGCCTCCAACTAATAAAAATAAATGGAAAAATAAAATAAAATAAAAAATAAAATAAAATGGTATTCAGCAGAGTAGCCATCAGAATGAAAAGTTTTAGGAACACATTAAATATATTTCATATATGTGTATGTGTTAGTCGCTTAGTCGTGTCTGACTCTTTGTGATCCCAAGGACTGTAGCCCGCCAGGCTCCTCTGTCCATTTCTCCAGGCAAGAATAATGGAGTGGGCTGCCATCCCCTTCTCCAGGGAGATCTTCCTGACCCAGGGATCGAATCAGGTCTCCCACACAGTGGGCAGATTTATTACAATCTGAGCCACCGTGGTGTAATGGCAACCCACTCCATTTTTCTTACCTGGAAAATTTCATGGAGAGAGAAGCCTGGTAGGCAACAGTCCATGGGGTCACAAAGAGTCGGACATGACTGAGTGACCAACACTTTCTGGTTAAATATATTTCACTTATATTTTTTTATATACATACATATCTTTTCCACACATACACATATATACAACTGTGCCATATGATAATGTTTGTCAAAATCTAAAAGAGCTCTGGTAATTGGTATTACATAAAAATTCTATATAATAAGAAAATAACCCTTTTGATCTCTTTTCCCCTACTAGCCACTATCCCATTTATCTGCTCTCTCTGCAGCAAAATTACCCCCAAACACATGACTATACTTGTGGTCTAGATCCCCTCCTATTTGCCCTTCTTCTCCAGTGGAGTGTTTGCCCATCACACCCCAAATCTGTTTCTACCAAGGTCACTCAAGAATTTCATATTGCTTAATACAATAGTCCATCTTCAATCCTGTTTTCACTTGAACAACATTTAACATGTCTAATCAATCCTCCTAGAAACACTTTATTCACCTGATTTACTCAAACCACATTCTGCTAGCTTCCCCTCCTACCCCGTAGCCATTTTCTCTCAACTCCAGTGCAGGGTCTCATCTCTCTACCCTTGACACATGGGCAAGCCCCAGGGCTCACACCTCTGACCTTTTCTTTGGACACTACCTACGTGATACCACACACTGCCAGGATTTTAAATACCATCTATATCTGATGCCTCTGAACTTTATCTCTCCATCTCCAACTTCTGTAGTTGCCTGCTCAGCATCTACAGGCCTGATAGGCATTTCAGACAGAACTAACTCCACATCGTCCTCCCCCTCTCTCCACCTTCCATCTTCTCCATCTCAGTCAATGAAGACTCCATCAGTTCAGTTCCTCAGGCCAGAAACCCTGGAGTCATTCTTG